TGAAAAACTATATATATCCCTTTGAATTTACGATTAGGAAGGCTTTTGGGAGAGAGGATTTTCTGAGATACTCGAAATTTGAGGTCAGAAGAGTACGAAAATCATTCTTTGGAGGAGGTATAGTTGGAAGATTGAGGAATTGAAGATTAAATCATTACATTCGGATTGCATTACTTGAATCATGCCAACTTCTTATTTGTGTGTTTACTTCCAGTCATGATTAGCTAATTTTTTACTTTCGTTTAGCTAGATGAAACGTTGAAACTATGAGTTAGTTTAGTATTTATTAGATTTTACAAAGTTGGTTTGGTTCTTGTGTTTGATTATCATTACCTAGAATGCTAAAGTGGTCCTTTTTGTTGCGTTAATTAAAGTTAAGTGTAGCTTAGTGACCATTAAATTACATGAACTTGTTTACCTAGTAATTTAGTGACTATTAAATTACTAGAGCTAAAATGTGATCATAATTGTGTTTGGTAAATCCTATATAGCCCAATTATCATTAATAGTTAACTATGTGTTCGTTTGTGTAGTACCATTACATAGTAGTACATGAATTGGTGAAAATATTAGTAGATTGGACCAAGATTGCTAATTACAAAATAATTGGTAACCAACTTTATTAATCAATAAATAATAACTAACCATAGGAAAAATGTGGATTCGAAACTAAACGAAAGTGTTTTTAATATTGTGATTACATCCCCTTTTAGTTGAGTGTTTAGCTTAAGTTAATATGAACTAGAAAAAATTGGATAAAACCCCCTTTTTAATTCATGTTTGAATTTTAGACTAATTTTTAGTAATTATTCTTTTATACTAGATATGTTCCATGTGTTCGATACCCAACTATTTGTGTTATTCTATTTTCGATTTGGTCCACTGCCTTAGACGTAATAGTTAGTTAAATTAGTTGGATTAGTATGAAACTATGGTGTGTGTAGACAATTTAGGCAATTTTATATTTCAAATTGATTCGTCTAATGTATAGACAAAGCATGTTTGTGGCATTGTTGTCGTGGACACGTTAACAAGAAATGCATCGCCCAACTCCAAAAGGATGGAATGTTGGAATCATTTGACCTAAAGTCAGATGATACATGTGAACCTTGTCTTTTGGGTAAAATGACAAAATCACCTTTCACTGGATCCTGTGAAAGAGGTGAGGGTTTGTTGGATCTCATTGTAGTGAAATAGAGCACTTATTTCGCACACGGAATAAAAACAACACAAAGAACACAGTGATTTGGGCGCTAAAATATGTATTTGATTATAGGAATGATTACAAAATGGGATCTAGATCTAGTTCTACATAAATATCCCAATCACTAATCACAATGAACTACATCTCTCAAGCACACTCTAAAAGTGGTATGCAACCCACTATATATAGAGGTGCTAACATCTCTCTCTCTCTCTTTCTCTCTCTCTCTCTCTCTCTCTCTATATATATATATATATATATATATATATATATATCACTCTATCTTTCTCTATATCTATATATATATATATATATATATATATATATATATATATATATATATCTACTTATCTATCTATCTATATATCTATATATCTATCTCTTATGTCACAAGGCATCAATCCCATTTTCAAGTGGGTCTTCAAGTCAAACCGTTACGAAGTCACTCCATGTATAACTTTGCACCCCAACATTTTCCCACTCAAAGTTAGAAATGGATGACCCGCTTCAATCTTCCAAAATGAGCAACATCACGAACTAAGCCTCAAGTGTGACAAGTATAAAAATGAACATCAAACCTTCAATTCTTCATTGAATTTCCTATCCGAGTTCTAGAGTGTGAGACCTTACAAACCAAGCATCAAAAGGTAATTTGTAGTATCCAAACCTCCACAATAGATTACCCAAATTTGAGCATAAAAGCACATCCCAAAAATCTTCACTGTGTCCACAGCCATCATGAACCGGGAAAACCTAAATCACTTCATAATCTCAAATCGAATCACTTTATAAACTTTGATTTCTCAAGGTTACATTGGTCTTCAAATCCGTGTAATATGAAAAATTCACAACCTTCAAATTCTCATATTTAATTCTCTCCACCTTTTTATCATCAAAAAATGATTATAAAACTAAAAAGGAATGAGAAAGCGCTCAATTCAGAATTTTCCATGCAAAACTCCCCTATAACACATGGCATAAATGTTTTGCATAAATCTGAAAAATCCAAAAATATCACAATTTTCGAATTTGATAATTCTCAAACCGCCTTTGACTTAAAATTCAAAAATTCAGTTTGAAACTGTCAATTTTGAAAATATAAATGGACCCGTTGTGCCCAAAACAGTCTCAAATGCGAAACTTTACCCTAATTGTGGAACCAGACATAAAGTGTCAATTCACATCAACGACAAGGACATGATTCAAAATTTATTCTGATTTTACAGAAATTTTAGCCCAATATCGAAATTGGGTAAATTTTGCCAGCTTGCATAAACTGCAGGTATTCGAAAAGAAAATTCAGCATTCTTTACATTTTATGACCCATCTCGAAAGTGGGTTAAAACTTCCAGTTCATTGAAAGTTGAGGGATGCGAAGCAAACATTTGGCTTCTTCTCCACTACGCTTTCCGGTGCAAACGATAGGAATACTCACAACGAAATTGTGTTCGACATCACCCCTATTGACCCATAGTGAAGCCTTGTTCGACCTCCAAACCAAATCACCAAAGCGAAACCCAAATCGTGATCACATGTTGCGAACTCAAGAAAACTTCTCACGTCGAATTCACAATCCATAGATGCGAATGATTTATTTGAAATCATTTCAAAATGGTCAGTTGCATATCGAACAACTCCAACAAAGATGATTCGACCGATAGCGAAGACTTGTTCAATCTCTAAACCCAAAATACGACTTCGTATGCGAACTCAATTGAGACCCCAAAAGAGAAATCACGTTGTTCACACATTGAACTGGTATGGCACGCATCGAACGATTTCTATGACTCCATATCAAAACTAATTTTGGCATCAGTAAACCCAATCAACATAAATCGACTCCAAAACCCCACACTCCCACAGCAAAGGTTGTTTAACAATCAAAGCCATCTTTCAATTTTGACTTTCATTCCAAGCTATCCCAATCAAAAATAAACCCAGACCTTCACAATTGAAATCAATATTAAATCCCATTCAGCCATTGAAGCTACTTCACGCTTCAACATCAACTATCGATCCTCAAAAAAATGTGAATTATTGAATCCCTCCAACTTCCTGCTTCGTTATAAAGAAACCATTCATTTGGTATTCAAGCACTGAGCATTCAACATCAAATCTTCATTGAATACCTAATAATCGATTTCACAGTCTTTCTTTGACCATCCATTGAACTAACATCAGATTTTATCATTTGCTGACTTCTTCTAATCGATGCTTACTTCACAGACTCTGCTTCGATATCAAAAACTTTCAAAGTCATCAATATTGAATTTATGTGTTTGACTTTTATACTTCGATTACACATTCAGCAATCAAATCAGTAAAAAAAAAAACCTAAAATCACACATTCATCCAAATTCTTTAATCAAAACATGTCTTCATTAGTAATCTTCCAAAGCAATTGAAACCATTTCGTGAACATGAAAAATGTGAACTGATGAATCCGATCAAACTTTTACGCATATAAAAAATCAAATTGGTCAAGTGAGGAAAGAATGTCGATCAATAAGAAATCGGGAATCATATGGATCGAGATATAATTTCAATAGATTGTAATCAAGAAGATGAGTAGAATTAGGGATGACAAAAGCTGACACAACACGACAAAAATACACGACACGAAACGAAATTGGGACGAAATCGAATTTCGAATTCGTGTTCGTGTCGTTTTCGTGTTGTTTATAAAAAACCCGAAGTCGTTTCGTGTCGTGTTCGTGTTCAGAATTCAAAACGAAATTAACCCGACAACAACACGAAATTAAAACGATAGTAACCCGACAACAAACACGATTAAACCGATATTTATACAAAATTATAACTTACAACTTTTTAATAATATATTAATAATATTTATATATTATATATAAAAATAATAAATTAAATACAAACTTTTCATGTATTGGGAACCTAGAAGGATAGAACGTTAATTGCTTAAAATTAATTCCAAATCTCCTTTGAGAACTCAATCGGCATCTCGAGTCTTCCCTCTATTATATATTCCAATGAGCCTGGTATTACTTCTTCTTCTTTTAACTGGATTCGATGACAACTCCTCAACCTTAAATAGAGACCTTTGTTTGTTTCCCATTTTAATTGCTCTCCTCAAGTTAATTTCTCCTCACTGCTGTATCAAAAGAATTGATGTCTAAGAAGTAAGAAGTGCCTGTTTTCCTTTTTCATCGCTACAAAGTCTTGTTGCTAAATATTCGTTGTCTACTTGCTGCTCTTGTTTATCGTTATCGATCGGTAAGTTTTTTGTTTTTTTAACCCCTAATTTTTATTGTTGTTGTTGTTCATCATTGTCTGTATGCTCCGATATTAAAGAAATCGATTATAAAAATTGATTGTAGTTGTATGTTGTTGCTTATCGTTCCTCATTTGATGCTGGCTTGTTTCGCTTTTCTTATTGTTGATATGTATGCAGTATGCTCTACTCTACTTTTCAAGAAATCGATTATAGAAACTAGTTCATGTTCTTTTTCATTGGTAATTTTTTGAAATTGAATACAAGATCTGTTTATATGTTTATTGTATTTGTGAACTTTCTTTCCTCTTAAATCGGTTACAAGATATGTATGCTATTATGCTTTATAGAAAAAAAAAATGGCATCTGTTTTACTATTTCAAACTTTGCTTTTATTTTTGGACTTCTCACGTATAGTTATGCTTATGTTTATATGAACTTGTATACACTTGCCTTTTGATCATATTTTTATGCTTTGTATCTTTTTATTTGTTCTTCTTTTGTTTATCTGAACTTGTATGATCTGCACCAGCAGTTTATCACTTTTTTAATATGAAGAAAGCAAAGCTTGGTAAAACACACACACCTTCTGCAGATGTTGCTCCACAGGTATTTTTCTGCTTTTAACTTTTCTATTTTTCTACTTCCATATTTTCCATTGTTCTGCTTTTAAAGGTTCTATTTCTCTACTTCTATTTTCTTTCTGATTTTTACCTTCTATTTGGTTTTTAGGATGCTGGACTTGAAGAAGATATCGATGGCATTGATGTTCTGGAGGTAGATGTTAAAGTCGAAGGTGAGGAAGGTAACATTACAATGGAAAGAGAAAGATGGTCTAAGGTATGGAAATTTTTTCAAAGACTTCCAATTGGTTTTGATGGAAGGGAAAGGGCACAATGTAAGAGGTGCTCAAAAAAATATATTTGTGAAACTAAGAATGGGACAGGTAGCTTGAGAAATCACATAAACAAGTGTCCTAGAAGGGATGAAAAGGACGTAACACAAATGCTTTTTTGCAAAATCAGGTGGTTCTATGTCGATAAACTCTATGGTTTTTAAACCTGAAAGATTTCGTGAACTTGTTATTCAAGCTATTATCAAACATGAATTGCCCTTTAAATTTGTTGAGTATGAGGGAATTAGGGAAATATTTCAGTACCTAAATAAAAATGTGACCACCATTACCAGAAACACTGCAAAATCAGATGTCAAGAACTTATTTAAGAGAGAAAAAGTGAGACTTAAGAATTTGTTAGAATTGCATCAAGGTAGAGTTTCATTAACTTCAGATTTATGGACTTCAATTAACACAGATGGTTTCTTGTGTGTTACGGGTCACTTCATTGACAAGGAGTGGAAATTGCAAAAGCGAATTTTGAACTTTCAGTATATGCCACCTCCACATAATGGGGTATGTTTAACTGAAAAGATATCTTCTTTGATATCTGAATGGGGGATCGAAAAAAAATTATTCACTATCACGTTAGATAATGCTTCGAGTAATTATACATTTGTCAATTTACTAAAGGGTCATTTATGTAATGAAGGTGCACTTCGCAGCAACGGAGATTATTTTCATATTCGATGTTGTGCTCATGTGTTAAATTTAGTTGTGCAAGATGGGTTGAAAGCTATTGATGAAGGGATTGTTAAATTGCGAGAATCTGTTAAGTACATAAAGGGTTCCCAAGTAAGGAAAGGAAGGTTTATTGATTGTGTAAAATATGTTAATTTGAATCCAAAAAAGGGTTTGCGGCAAGATGTTCCTACGAGATGGAATGCTACTTATCTTATGATTGAAAGTGCTATATTCTATCGTCGTGCTTTTTTTCATTTAGCATTGAGTGATTCTAGTTATTTGGATTGTCCAAGTAATTATGAGTGGAATAAGTTAGAGAAGATTTTCAGATTTTTAAAGGTATTTTATGAAGTTACATGCATATTTTCGGGAAATAAATATTCTACAGCAAACTTATACTTTCCTTCGGTTTCCATGGTTGAAAAAACTTTAAGAGAAGAAATGGAAAGTTCAGATAAATTTATGAAGAATATGGCTAAAAAATGTATGAGAAATTTTCGAAGTATTGGTCGGAGTATAGTATGATTTTGGCCATGGCAGCAGTTTTGGACCCACATTATAAACTGCAGTATGTTGAGTTTACTTACAAAAAACTCTATGGCAACAGTTTTGCTATCCACAGTGATCGTATACGGGAGAAGCTACATGATCTTTTTAGTGAGTATATTAGTGATTATAGTACTGAACCACCTGTGAATTGTAGATCATCAGCAACATCAACAGGTGATACAAGTAAAGTTGTGCACAAAAAGAAAAGTGACACATTGCTAAGTAAGAGCACACAAGACATGTTAAAAGTAAGTTTTTTTTTCTTATTAATGAATCTATTGTTCTTATTAGTTAATTTTATAACTTTGTACAATTTTTTAGGAGTTCAAGGATTACGAAGGTAAAGAGTTTGCTTTGTCTCAAAAATCACAATTGGAGATGTACTTAGATGAGCCAAGAAGTGACATATGTGAAGATTTGGATGTTCTTTCTTTTTGGAAAGCCCATCAATATCGTTATCCGGAACTTTCTTCCATGGCTCGAGATATTTTGAGCATTCCGGTCTCCACCATAGCATCCGAATCTGCCTTTAGTAATGGTGGTCGTGTACTTATCAATATTGAAGTTCGTTGAATCATGACATTGTTGAGGCTCTAATTTGTTCAAAAGATTGGCTTTTTGGAATTAAAGGTGATTGTGTTTTTTACAGCTATTGAAAACTTTTTGTTTAGTGTTTAACCATTTTTAATATATACATATATAAATATATATGTTATTGTTTTGTAGGTGATGAAGAACTGTGTTTACAAGAGCTTACCGATGATATTATGGAAGATGCTAGCAGGAACAATAAGCATGAATCGATGGAGGCATAGTTTTTAATGTATTTTTTGATGTCACAAGTTTGAAACATTTTAGTATTAGTTTATGTCATGTTTGTCGTGTTGTTTTGGGTTAATTTTAGTCATGTTTGTCGTGTTTTGCTGACTTTTTAAGAGAACTTATCGATGAAATGATTATTTTATGTTTTTTGTTGTGTTGTCGTGTAATTTCGTGTTTTTCGTATTTTAATTGGTTTGTGTTTGTGTTAGCAGAAAAAAACACGATATCGTTTCGTTTCGTGTTCGGGTTATGGAAAAGAAATTCGTGTCGTGTCGTGTTAGGTGAAAACACGAAACGACTGCCCGAATTGCCACCCCTAAGTAGAATAGATCAATTTATGTAACATCCATAAAATTTCACAAAAATTTAAAACTTTTGAAACAATTCCACAATACATCACGGTTTACAAAATAGTTATCAAGAATAATTATTATCATAGTTTTTCCCAAAGATCCTAAAACAAAACATGTGGAGGTGCACGATCACACATTTGCCTTCTCGCGATCATTTGAGGTACCTGAAACATAACCCAAAACTGTAAGTGCAAAGCTTCGTGAGTTCCCCCAAAATACCAACCCAATACATAACCAAAACAATATTCATAAACAGCTTGCATACAGAGCCTTCAGTCTAACCGGACACCCCACCAACCTGCAGTTTATCTGGTACGCTCACAGAACCTTCAGCAGGACTAGTATGCCCCATTAGGCCTTCAGCCTATCTGAAATGTTCTCCGAGCCTTCGGCCTAACTGGTACTCCCCATTGGCATTCAGTTAATCCGGGATGCCCTGGGTCTGTTGTCCTATAGCACAAAGCAAGACCACCTCAACCCACCCACCATCACACAACAACATATATCATATCAGACACTAGCTAGCATGCATATATAGTTATATAGATCAACATACCACTACACATAACATCATACAATAAATCAGGATTCAATCCAAAGGGTAGGCCATGGTGCCTTAGACCCTATTACTATAGTGAGGAAAACTCACCTCATACGACTGAAAGAAACAGATAACCTCTAGTTGTTCGTCCTACAACTCCCGAGCTATAATTTGACAAATAAAACCAATTAACATTTGGGATCTACATCTTAGCTGTAAATCCCTATTTGGGTAAAAACGACCATTTTACCCCTAACCTAAGATGGTTCATTACTAAAGTCCAATTTCACGATCTATTAGGCCTAAAAGACTAATAATTCATCAAGGCCCAAAATATGGACCAATTTCCATTTGGGCCCCAGTCCTTGCTCGTGGGCCTTAGCCCAAGGCCTAATAATATTTTTTGGCCCAAACACCCAAAATCAAATAGCCCTACTAAACTCTATCCTACTAAGCCCAAAACATGTCCCAAATCCAAAGCCCATCACCAAAAACCCACCTGACTAAGTCCGTGGGGCATACTCAGCTTGTACATTGTGCGTACTGGCTCGAAGCTTGTACGCCCAGCATAATCTTCCATATTAGCCATCTTCAAGTTTAAGCTCTTAACCTATTAAGATTTTTCTCCTAGGTGTAGATCTGACCCTCTTGAGCTAGATAGACACGTGATGTTGCTAACTTCACGTCCATGCAAGGCTAGATGAGGCTCTTTAGCCCAAAAAGGGCTTAATATATGACTTAATGCTTTCATGGGTCCTTTAACTTCATAAAGATGGCACCTTTATGCTTAAAGAGGCCATAAACAACCCAGATCTTAAGAATAAGTCTTTGGGACGTCCTAATTCCATTATCCACTCTAACCATGGTTAAAAACATAACAAATTAGCCCAAAAAGAGATTTAAGCAACTAGTAATAAAGATAAGGACTTGATACCTCCAAATCCTTGCAAAGTAGGTAGTGGTTCTGGATCTAAAGCTTCCCTTTCAAGCTTGGCAACTTCAAGATCCTTAACTCCTTCAAAATGCACAAAATAACCTCCAAGCTCTCTTCAAATGCTCAAATGCTTAAGAATGGAGGCTATAACTCGATTTTAGGGTTTTGGAGGCTTTAGAGGCTAGTAAGGAGGCCAACCTTAAGGTATAAGGTGGTTTATATAGGGTGCATGCACCTCCATTAGGGTTTCATTAAGGTCCACGTACACCCAACATATGTGGCCTGAGTCCCAACTCAGCATCGAATCAGTACGCTAAGCATACCAAGTGGTATGCCCCGCATACCAGCTTCTTGGCTAGTACGCAAAGCGTACCAAGTGGTACGCCCGCATACTACTCCAAGGGCTTAAAAGATAATTTGCAAAAATGAAGGACCAAAAGTGAACTTACCAAGATCGGGGTGTTGCAATTTGCACTTATTATCATATTACAGTCAAATCGGCTTCAACTAAAGAGATTCAAGAGGAAATTTTAAATCAAAATTGATAGGCTCTAATCAGAGACACAATCTGTTTCAACCTTCATCATCATCCAAGACACTTGAATCAACAATTAAGATTAAAAATTAATTACGATATCATATAATTACATAAATGAAGGAACTAGAATCATACGAAGCGTATTTGATATGAATCAGAAAAATATATGACCTAGAAAAGAATCTGGGCTTTAAATTTTAATTAAATGAACAATGCGAGATCTAAATTGATTGGGCTAAAAAATAGATTGATGAGCCATTAACAATTTCGAGATTTGGGATTTCATGTTTATCCATGAACAGTAATGGATTAACAACATTTTGATTCATATGAATGATTGCTCTCGAGAATTAGATCAAAAATAAGAAAATCAGATTGGATTGGACTTGATGAATGAAATTTTTTTGTAACACCCGATTCCTGGTATGCCTTTAATTTAAGTATTTCTTATGTGTTTCTTTGGGACTCGACGAGTTGGAGGCCCAACTCGTCGAGTAGAGTCGTGATCCGCAAGAAGTTTAAGTAGTCTACTCGACAAGTTGGGAGACCGACTCGGCGAGTAGATGTTGTTTTAGTGAAACCCTAAATTAAGGGTTTGCACCCTATTTAAACACATTATAACCCCTTAACTCAGCCCCCATCATCCAGAGCAAACCCTAACTCGAAACCCTAGCCGTTTTTAGTGTGTTTTTTAGCCTTGTGGTGTTACTTTGTGTGATTGAAGCTTGAAGAAAAGAAGGAGGCTTGTGAGATCAAGGGGAAACAGGAAGATCCAGAGTGTTGAGGATATTTCTAGCTTATTAGAGGTATAAAGCTAAAACCTTGTCTATTATTGTCTAGATGTTGATTTTGGACCTTTTTCTACATCTTTTTAATCCCTAGTGAGGATGTATTTCGGATTGAGTATAAGAAGTGAGTTTGTGCTTCAGATCTAGGGTATTGGGGGTCTTTATGGCATAAAGGTGCCCACTTTGTTGCCATAAACACCCCAAGCATCTTGTAGACCATCTTTTATGGCTTTTTGAGCCAAAGATCCCATGCATGTGCACCAAGCTTGAGGCTTTACGTGTAAAATGGACATTAGGAGGCCAGATCTATGGTTTTGATGTGTTAAGACCCATTTAAATCAACTGTATACTAATGGTCAAGGATGGAACCGGCAAGTCAGGGTGTAATAACCAACAAATCCTTTCTGTCGATGGACCAGATGATAGTGTGGAAGGTCCCTCATTTGTTTAGGCTCTTAAGGGACCTGGGAATCATGGGACTCGACAAGTGTCTAAGAATACTCGACGAGTCCAAGGTAATCTCCCAATCTTTGAAGATGGACTCGACGAGTCGTTCTTACAACTCGGCGAGTCATAGACTAGACGCATTCTTATGAAGGAGATGAACTCGACGAGTTCAAGGATGAACTCGGCAAGTCGGATGAAGATGGTCCCGACGATATGATTGAAGGAGTATGGACTCGATGAGTTGGTAGACCAATTCGGTGAGTTAGGTCAACTGGATGTTGACTTTGACCAATGTTGACTTTGACTAAATTGAGTTGACCCTGGTTAGGGTTGCATATTCAAATTGATAACTTAGAGGGGTTGTGATGTAGGGACTGAGGCGTCGAGCATAGTCGATTTGCACGCCAAGGACAATTCAGACACTACACGACATCGAGGTGAGTTACCTTCAAGTATAAGTGGGTCTAAAGCACTAAGGTCAGCCCACTAGTAGATGTTTAGTTGAGATGATTGTCTTTGTGATAATTATCTGGTTTGCTATTGCTTGAAATGTGTGTATGCTAGTATGATATGTTATGTGAGATAGTATCGGTAGGAGGGGACTAGTCCCCGATTCGGTCGCTAGGACCAATGGGTAGGTCGGACACCCTAGATATGTCTGACAGCATGATTATGATTTGATATTATACGCTAGCGTTAGGGGGTGAAATGGTCCCCGTGTTCAGTTAAGATAGACCGGAGGGTAGGTCGGCACCCCAGAATAGCTTGACATAGGTAGGTCAGCACCCCAACATGGCTTGACATGGGTTGGTCAGCACCCCAGAATGGCTTGACATGAGTAGGTCGGGCACCCCAAAATTGTTCGATAATATCTATGTCGTTTTGGTAAATGGTATGATGGGGGAACTTACTAAGCTTTGTGCTTACAGTTTCAGTTTTGGTTTCAGGTACCTCTTCATCCAAGGGGAAGGAGTCGGCAGCATAGCAGCGCATCACACACACATTTGATTTCCGCATTGAGTTTTCTGGGACTGTACTCTGATTTATACTACTGTTCGATGTTGTGATTTTTAGACTTATTCATGATGGTTTATGGGTTGATACAATATTGACAATGTTTTTAGTAAACGAATATATAATTTACTTAATTACAAACGAAATTTTTGGACTCGAAATTTGGGATGTTACAAGTTGGTATCATAGCCTAGGTTTGAGGGATTCGAACACACCCTCGGGGGTGTCTGAACTCAAACCGAGGGATTTAAATATTTTTTACAAGGAATAGTTTTCTAAAATCTAAATTAAAGAATTTTGAGAAAGAACAAGGTGTGTGATGCGTAAGACTGGCCGATCTCAAGTAAGTTTTCCCCAAGATACCCATACTTGTTATGT